CATGTGCATGTGCGAACGTGCACATGTACAAACATGTGCATGTGCGAACGTGCACATGTACAAACATGTGCATGTGCGAACGTGCACATGTACAAACATGTGCATGTGCGAACGTGCATATGTACAAACGTGTGCACTTATATACGTTTGCGCATACACGTCAACACACACATTGATACACTTAGACAGGTTACAGTTATTGCCATTTCATCCTGTTTTACTCGCTCATATGTAAAAACGTATTTACACGTGCATGGATGCATGCACACATATATACACACATGCATGCATACATACTCAAATCAGCAATATTACAAAATCTGACACTGCTAAGCAAGAAAAAGCTAAAAAGTGGCCCATATTTAAGCAAAGTGAAAGATAAGAATTTCATTTTGCTTAATCCATTTCAATAAATACATAACTCTCAAATATGCATCATACACATCTACATACACATACACACACATGCACATATATACATACATAGATACACATGCACACATACATATACACACATACACACACAGACGCACGTATACACATAGACACACATTCACACACATACATACACATACACACACACACACACACACACACATACACACATACACACAATTTAAAAAAATGTTCGAAAAAAAACTTAATTTTGATAGCTGAAAAGAAGACATTTTATTTCTTGTATACAATATATTCCTATAAAGAATTTTGCCTTTTTTTCCATTCATCTTAAATTTCAAATTAAAATAAACCAGGTTCATTTATTGATCTAATCATTATCACTAATCTTATCAAACATATCACTCGTTGTTTATTCTGAATTATTTAATAAAAATTAAACTTCTAGCTGTTATTTTTGGAAAATTTTATTAATGACAGCAATGAGCATTTAGTACAAAAAAACTTTTATTTTAAAATTTTTCTCACTTTTATTTCTGACCATTTTTTCATTTATGATTTTATTGAAAGGTATAATTTTATAATGGGAAAAAAAAGAAAAGCAAGTATTATATCATATTAGAACATAAAATAATATATTTTATTAGTTGACAAATTATTTGTCATTTATTTATCACTAAACAATAAGCAATACAAACATTTAGTCCCTTATTTTGATCATTCTTCTAACTTCTTGCTAAAATGTCATTCATATTTATTCGTTATCAGTAACAGATAATACTTCAAATCTATCAATGAAAAGGGAAAATTATAATTTCTCTGGATATTTTCAATTAATACAAAAATAAATTAATTAATGAAAAAATTGTTTTTAAGAAATGAGTTAAATGATTTATTAGTTGCAGTATTTGCAATTGAAAGCTAAATTGTTCTTCCTAAAATCATTGGACAATTATTCTAATTTTGATATTTAATGATTGCTTCTAAGATGATCATTTGTAAGTTCAAAATCTGGAGAAAGTATCAAAGTTATCCAAAGAGTAGACATTCATTTTGCAAACGAATAGATATGAAGCTAGAAGGGATGAAAACGATGAGAATAGTCGTCTGACGGGCAGGTGATGTGACTATTTCATCGAGAGAGAGAGAGAAAGAAAGAAAGAGTAAATTTTGCAAATTTGTTGAATAAATGAGGGAAGAGGTATGTGACAATAATTGTTTTATCAAGGGTTTTTGCGTGTTTTTAAAATTACAAATGAGAGAAGTGTAATAACACGAATATGTGATGACAGTTTCTATTGAGCACATGTTGATATTGATGTTTGAAAATAATAATAATTAACGACAAATATTAATGATAATAAAGTTTGATTAAGAGGTTTGAAAACCTGTAAACAAATTATGATTACTATTATTACTTTTTTTATGCTCCTCAGTCTTCGCCATTTGATGAATCGTAAAAGCATTCATGCTTTATTAAATTTTAGGAGACTTAAGGTAGAATTATAAGCAATGCGATAATGAACGGAAAATACACTGCAAAACAATATAATTGTAACAATGAT